ACTGTACGACAATTATTTCTAACATTCTCATTATTGACTCCCATTAATATAATCAACCGCATGATTATCATAACAAGTTCCATCAACATTTCTAATTCGAGATAAGCTGCTGAAGTATATAATTTCTCATACAAACTGAATGCTTTAACAATACCAAAAACAAACAAAGCAATACCTACGCCCTAAGCAACCACTTATAAAATTAATTGGACGGATGATAACACTAATGACGTTCATGTACATAAATTGCATTGTATTTCCTGGGTGTGAACTGTGCCTGAATCATTACCTGTGTTTTTCTAGGACATTCACGTTTGTTGAAAGGAAATGTGTACTGTCATTTCTTAAGTGTTCACTCTGAAATTTCTGAATATGTCTTAAGCCTTTAAAGGACAGTGTAGTTCACAGCTTCATATGAACAAGCAGACTGGGTTTAATACATATATTTTATTCATTTTAATAAATGATCATCTCAGCTCAAATCTTTCTAATTGTGTCATTTTTAATTTAGATTGCAAGGACACATTTTTGGAACAACTTTACCATGTTTTATACAGTGTTTATAAACACATGACAATGACAATTGGCATATTATTTTATTTTACTGCTTGATCAGGTAGTGATACTCATGAGGGGAACTAGAGCAAAGAAGTGTAATTCTTCTTTAATATTCTAATGAATATTAATAATTTGGGACATGCTATTCAACCATTCCTTCTCCTGTTTTTTTTAGACATGAAACTAGCTACAAAGTAAAGTAAATGACTAAATAAATAACTGAAAAAAGGTAAAAACTAGCTACCTTCTTATGCACACTAGATTTCACATATTTAATGACACTATAAATATTCTTTAATATTACTTGGGGTTCTCAGGGAGGAGGAAGGGGTGAGATGCCAAGGAATTGGAGAGAGAGGGAATATTAAGAAAGGGGAGGAGGAGGTGAGGTAGAGAATAAGAAGAAAATTCAAAAAAAAAAAGGGAAAGAGAAGAAGAAGAAAAGGGAAGGGTGAGAGGAGAAAGAGGAAGAGGAAGAACAGAGAGAAGAATAGAGCAGAAGAGGAAGGAATGAAAGATTGGAATGGAAGAAGGAGGGAAAAGAAGGGAAGAAAGAGGGAAGGAAGAAAGGAAGAAGGGAAGAAGTGGAAAAGGAAGAAGCGAAGAATTGGGAAAGAGAAAAAGGGAGGGGAGAAGAGAAAAGAAAGTAGAAGAAGGCAAGGAGAGAAGAGGAAGCAGAGAGAAGAAAAGAGGGGGAGAAAGAGGCTAAAACAACACCTCCCTTCACAGTTTACGACTTTTGGAGGGTAACGTTATCTAGCACATTAGAGCATGAAACACGAAAAAAATGAAAGGTTCCGTGGTTTATCTATGTGATAATTTGGTGATTTATGCTTCATTTCCTTTTGGCTTAAGAGTCATGCTTATTCCAACAGTCTTGCGTATTTGAGGTTTTCCCTTGAAAATGAGTAATAAGTTTTCTGATAATTTCAAATAATGAGAAAAGCATAATTCTGTGGATTTAGATTTGAAATTTGAATCCAAACATATTAGGTCTTGAATAATCTCTACATTAATCATGTATAAAGTATTTTGTAATTAAGTATTTCATAATTTTCAACCTGGCACCTGTCTTCCCAGCAGTTCATTGCCCCCTTTTGCAACAAGAATTCTAATTACCAAACAGATTTACGATTTCTCTTTACAATATCCATATTTTCATTCCTTCCACTGCATAAAATTGAAAAATGAAAACCACCTTTAACCCACAAACTTTCATTGCCCCCTTTTGCAACGAGAAATTTAATTACTAATCAGATTTATGGGTTTCTCTTTAAAACATCCATATTTTCATTCCTTCCACTGCATAAAAGAGAAAAATGAAAACCATTATTTACCCACAAACTTTCAAAGCCAACATAAAACCATAAATGTTTATGATATATCATAAATAAATATAAAATTAACAAAAAGCACAAATACTCCTTTTCCTTCTCCTTCTCCTCCTCCTCCTACACACGGCTGTCAATACTGCACATGCAACATGATGTTCCCTTTGATGTCGCACCAACACCACATATCTTGGTCCCTCGCATATAACTCCAATAAGAAAAATACATGTATAGGCACTCCCTTTGTGGCCATGAACCCTTGACACTTAAGAAGGGGGGAACTAAACCCCTTTCTCACTCTTTCTCGCTCTCTTCAACAGCGAAAAGCCACACTTCGATCACTCTATCAAGCAACTCCAGCAATAAAGAAATAAAATACATATATAGGCACTCCCTTTTTGGTCGTGAACCCTTGACACTTTAGAGAGGACACTTATGGGGTTCAAACTAAGCCCCCTTTCTCTCTCTGTCTCACTCTCTTCGACAGAGAAAAGCCACACTAGATCACACTCTATCATGGGATCCTTACGTTGATAGCCACAGTCTGCACACTCGCTGTTCCCCGAGAGTTTCACTAGGTCAGCGATCCTGCGGGAATTCCTATCGGTCATCTTAGTTTCCTCGCTCGAGACGCACTGTAGGGGGGAAAAGAGGAGAGGTTTCGAGAGCCCCGTTTTCAAACTGGCATTATTTTCAGACTCTGCGGGAGTCCTTTCGGGGTTTAAAGAGAGAAAGGGAAGGGCGGGAGGTGCGACACGACCGCTCCTCGTCCGAGCTGAGCTACTACTGCGATGTAGGAGTCCGCTCGCGAGGATATACTCTCTTTTTCTTAAGTTCTTATTTAACAGGGAACTTCCCCTTTCTTATCAATTTCCTGTGGTTGATTGGGTGGAGGGATTATGCGCCTCGGTTTCCCGGTGGGTACGACGGAGGTCGAGCATGGAATAATATAGATATGTGTGATTTATGTGGAATAACTACTACTGAATAGACGCACCCCTAATGACGTCATCGTGTCGTGTTGCCAATGCGTTCATTTGGCACACATTTTTTAATCCTTTTTTCTAAGGTCAAATATTGGCTTATTTTCATTTTCAAAAAGCAAATTGTATTTCGTTCCATAACCAAGAATTGCGAGGGAGAATATCTTAAGGCCAAGGCAGGAACTTCCAATGCAATTGAGGAAGTGCCTCTGTGTCATAGAAGAAGGCACAGCGATCACTAATCCTTGACAGAGGCTTGACATGTACTTTACCAAGATTAGATATTTATCGTCTGTCAAGAGACGCATGTCATTCAAATTCCCTTCTCTCAGTACCTCACAAAACACTTATGTCACAAACAACATCGCTATTGTCTAAACTATCATAATACCTTTTAAATTATCTGCATTTCTTGCGATACATGAACATTTGTGGGAAGGATGAAAGCTCGTGAAAAAAAAATTGGTGAGTGCCTCTCTCTTTCCTTCCCGTGAGTCACTTACGTCAGTGAAAATGCCCCAGTGTTTGTTCAGATCACGAATTTGAGAAAAAGGATGAATTTTCTTTCTCTCGTTTTTCCTAAGAAGCCTTTAGCTAGTCTCTTCAAGTCTCTTGCTAAGCTTGCGATAACTAAAACACCCTAAAGATCATTATGACTTGACCACATATAAACCGGAAGGAACCATCATGAATCACAACTTCTCATGCACTAATAATCATCCCTCCCTCCTTTTCAAAAATAAAAACCAAAGAAAAGCAAACCACACTATTAAACAACCACACGAATAAAGAAACAAAATGGAAAATAGCTCAGACACGCGTTCAAACATTCCAAAACCCCAGACGTTATATAGCATTGAGAGAAGACTGAGATTTACCAGCGTGAACCCTTGACATTTACCGCTCGTGGGTTCGCGTGTTGCTGTCCATGCTTGGCGAGAGTGTGAGATATGTAATAGTACAATTTGTTGCTTAAATCGGTTTAAGTTGGTTTATTTTTTTGGGGGGGATTATGTTTGTTGATTTACGAGTTGTGAGTGAATATTGTCAGCTAATCTGAAATATTTTTTATTGACAAGATGTAGAGCTTGGGTTTCGCGTGATGTTAGATATTACTCATGTAAAAGCAATGCAATTCGTTACAAGAATTGTACTGTTAACCATCACTCATATCAACATCTTATCAGCTCATATCTTGATTACAATCAAACGTCATTTTTATTTTCATTTCTTACACCAGAGCAAGAGAGGGAAAGCTATAGCATCAATATTTCCACGAAAAAATCACAATTTCTAAGACAGATCTTTCGAGTTTCTGCCATACCACCCCCATTACCGAAAACGAAATAGATGCCACTCCATTAGTTTCCCCCAACCCACCCATAAGCCACACCCCAACCCCCACCATCAGCCACACCCCACCCCCACCATCAGTGCCCCCAACCCCCACCCATAAGCCACACCCCAACCCCCCACCCATCAGCCAACACCCCAACCCCACCCATCAGCCACACCCAACCCCCACCAACCACACCCACCCCACCCCACACCCCCAACCCCCACCTATCAGCCACACCCCAACCCCACCCATCAGCCAACACCCCAACCCCCACCAAAGCCACACCCCAACCCCCACCCATCAGCCACACCCCAACCCCACCCATCAGCACACCCCAACCCCCACCCATCAGTTCACCCCAACCCCCACCCATCAGCCACACCCCACACCCATCAGCACCCCAACCCCCACCCATCAGCCACCCCAAACCCCACCCATCAGCACACACCCAACCCCACCCATCAGCCACACCCCAACCCCACCATCAGCCCACACCCCAACCCCCACCCATCAGCCACACCCCAACCCCCACCCATCAGCCACACCCAACCCCCACCCATCGCCACACCCCCAACCCCCACCCATCAGCCACACCCCAACCCCACCCATCAGCCACACCCCAACCCCCACCCATCAGCCACACCCCAACCCCACCCATCAGCCAACCCCCACCCCACACCCACCCCACCATCAGCCACACCCCCAACCCCCAATCAGCCACACCCCAACCCCACCCATCAGCCACACCCCACCCCCACCCATCACCACACCCCAACCCCCACCCATCAAGCCACACCCATCAGCCACACCCCAACCCCACCCATCAGCCACACCCCAACCCACCCATCAGCCACACCCCAACCCCCACCCATCAGCCACCATCAGCCACACCCCAACCCCACCATCAGCCACACCCCAACCCCCACCCATCAGCCACACCCCAACCCCACCCATCACCCCAACCCCCAACCATCACCCACCCACCACCCACACACCCAACCCCCACCCATCAGCCACACCCCAACCCCCACCCATCAGCCACACCCCAACCCCCACCCATCAGCCACACCCAACCCCCACCCATCAGCCACACCCCAACCCCCACCATCAGCCCACACCCAACCCCCACCCATCAGCACACCCCAAACCCCCACCATCACACCCACCCAACCCCACCATCAGCCACACCCCAACCCCCACCCATCACCCACACCCCAACCCCCACATCAGCCACACCCAACCCCACCCACAGCCCCACCCCAACCCCCACCATCACACAACCCCAACCCCACCCATCAGCCACACCCAACCCACCATCAGCCACACCCCAACCCCCACCCCATCAGCCAACCCCAACCCCACCATCAGCCACACCCAACCCCACCCATCAGCCACACCCCCAACCCCCACCCATCAGCCACACCCCAACCCCCACCCATCAGCCACACCCCAACCCCCACCCATCAGCACACCCCCAACCCCCACCCATCAGCCACACCCCAACCCCCACCCATCAGCCACACCCCAACCCCCAGCTAAAGTGCCGCAAGTAGGCCTAAGCGCAATCGATAGTAATGGGAATTGACACAGAAACCCGGGTCCGTCTACAGTCAAGTCGATATTGAACTACCAGCCCCCCCCACCCCCACCCTTCCCTCACAGCCCCAACCCCACACTCCCATCCCCTCACCCCCCCACACATCCCCTCACAGCCCCCCCCACCCCACACCCTCCCCTCACACCCCCCCACCCCACACCCATCCCCTCACAGCCCCCCCGCACCCCACACCCATCGCCTCACAGCCCCCCCACCCCACACCCATCCCCTCATAGCCCTCACCCCACACATCCTTCCTCACCCCCCCTCCCACCCCACACCCCCCTCACAGCCCCCCCCACCACCCCACACCCTTCCCCTCACAGCCCCCCCACCCCCCTTCTGTGGATGTTTACAGACCCCATATCCGCTTTTCCTTCGTCACAACCCTGGATCCTATTCCGCTAAGCCAATTTCGAGACACCACGGACTTGGATCACAAACACAAACCCACATACACAAGCTCGTGTGCGCTTAAAGTGGGTCAACGTGTTTCATCATCATTGTTTACGTGACAGATATTTTTTGCTGTTACGTTGTCGATGCACTAATATTTATGACAATAGTGTTGAATATCTTATTATTATTTATTTTGTTGTTAAATATATCAGAATTATTATTATTATCTGTATTGCCATTATCAGAATTATTATTATCAACGTAATCATTATTTTTATTTTAATATCTTGTCATCGTTATTGCTATCGCCATTATCATTACGATTACTATAATTTATGATATCAAAGTATGTTTCTCATTTTCCTTTTCAGCATTAGTATATGTAATATTGCCCTTATAATTATTATTATCATCATCGTCACTTACTTTCATATTGGTTACATTATTGTTATTACAGTAACATCCTTATTCTTCTTCTGTAAATACTTTCTGTCTCGTAATAAATTTATCAACTTAAAATCTAATCTTCATCTTATCGGATTTACGGATAACAACAATAATTTCAGCTGTGTGTATCAGTTATCGTGCAGGTGCTACATGAACGATTTGTCCTGTTGGGTAAACAAGCAGTATTATGATCATTATCTCCTTGTGTTAATATTGATCTACTCATAGACATTGATTTTTAGTTGTCAAAAAGGTGTATCGGTCAGCTGATTGTTTAATATTATAAGCAATCACTATTTTTATAATTGTTTTATTTTATTATGTACGTACTAGATTAGGTAATTCATTTTAGCAGTAAAAAGCGTAGAAACCAAGACACATATTCAGAGAACTGCTTGTCCAGTAGAGTAACCAAGCAGTATTTTATTCCTTAACATCGCATTTTACTCTATATCCACCCAGTAAACATTCATTTCAGCAGTTCAACAATAATACGGCAGCTAGCAGACGTCTTTTAGTGTAAACAAACATATATCATCATCATCATCATAACATTTTAATCCCTTTCTCCTTAAAACATTCACTCCAACAGTAAAACAAATAAAGGTCCAACAGCCACCAGACACACGACCAAGATCTGCTCGTCCTGTAGTGTAACCCAGCAGACTTGTGACGTAAGAATATCCGGATATTCGGTGCCACAGGAGGCGTGTGGTCAGACCGATCTCCGAATTGTGGGTGAGTCTCCTTTCGCTCGGCCCGAGAAAGAAAGATAGCTGTACACAGTGGCTTCCTGTGGACGATGTTGTACCAGTGAGGGACCAAAGACGAGGCAAGCGGATGGTT